AGTTGTACGGAACAATTTTTTGTGTACTGGCAACACTGTATAATATGAAATTACAATCATAGGGTAATTAAGATTAAAAAGCCTCTAACTCAAATCGACGTCGTTTTGGGTTAGGGAATCCCTTTTTTTTTTCTTTTTTTTTTTTAATTTGTCAAATTTTGACCAAAACAAAATTTCATATTATGTCATTTCGATCCATGTAGAAAATCAGTACATATCAACCGTATTAGCCGGTACGGTATGAAATTGATAACCCTGCTTAAAATGCTTTCATTTGACTTAATATTTAAATTTGAGATTTCAAACTTATAATCTTAAGTTTTTAACCATTGAAGGTCAAAATATCTCTCTTTTACCTATATATATATAAATCATAACTTAGATCTCAAATTATTATATTATTTTTTACCAAAAAGATCAAATAATTATTTAGTTGCATTTAAACTTGAAAGAATATATTACAAATCTAAATAAGTGTTTAATTTTTTTAATTGTGTTGGGTTCTAATTCAAATAAATATATAAATCATTATAAATAAATATAAAATATGTTGATATATTGTTTTCCTTTAATATTTTAATATTAATATTTCATGCATTTTGTCATTTTGAATATGTTTTTAATTTATTAAAAATTAATATTTTTAAGTATTAAATTTTCTTATATTCATTAAATATCATTTCATAATTATATATTTAATTTATATAAATATATGTATTTATAATAATAAATCTAAAATGATACACAAAAAATTTTAATAACCATATCATTTCAATAACAAAACCAATGTGCATATATGATATTGACAACCTTTGCCGACAACCCCCCACGTATTGTCAATTATACCTCCTGTTAATGTAATGAGCTGTTAGCTCAGTGGCTTCCCCAAACCCTTCTTCCGGAATCTTCACTAACCAAACATGCCCTTAGTGTTTTCTAGAGAAAAGTTGACCGTTTAACCCCATAAGCTGACCACCAACGAAACAATTTTGGATGTGCATTTTAAATCAACCCAATGAGTTTAGGCAGTAGGATGAAGCCCCATCGTTATTTGGGTGCAATCATGCTATTTGTTACGTACTTATTTTCTTAAAACCAGAGAAGATATCCTAATTTTTAGACTTTTTTCAAGTTATTTACTTTTTTAAAAAAAAGCAGTTTTTTCAAGTTTGGACCTAATCAACGAATAGAATCCAATCTATATGCATCAAATGGGTCTAAATAGTAATTTGCACTAGCCAAGCCAGATACTCCACAACGACACCATAAGAAACAACAGCTTTCCTTGGAATGTAGAGTAACGTCTCTCTTTTCATAGATGTTCTGCAAAAAAAATAAAAAAATAAAAATAACGCACAAGTTCGATGTAGCACAATAGTAATCTAGCAAAATTTGACTGTTTTTCTTGTCCAAGTTAAGCTCATAATATGGTAATATGAAGAATGTACTTTATCTTATGGAGAATGAAAATAAAGCATGTTATGTAGGCCATCCCATTCTCAAGAACAAATCTGTCTCCTCGTTAACGATAACTTAGGTCCAATAAAGCAAACAAATATTGTAGAGTTTGAACTAGATTAAATTATAGAACTCAAACTATTAGATAGGAGGTAAGCCTCCTCATATTGAAGAATATCCCTCCATTGGGTTCTTGTTTTGTTGTCCAAACCGTGAAATAGGGAACTCCAAATAAACTCTCTAATTTTTTTTTTTTTTTTTTATACAATTTTCATGTGTCATTATATTAATAGATGAATTTAATATCACGAATCTCAAATGAATAAAAAAAGTAGGTTAAATGCTAAATTTGATCTCTCAACTTTAAGAAATGCACATTTTTTATCCCTCAACTATAAAAAATGCACTCCGTTAATCCTTTTGTTAATTTGAACTGTTAACTTCGCTTATGTGGCATTTTTTATATTTTTTTTGATAATGTGGAGAGCAAAATTGAGAAAAGTGATGACATGAACAAATATTTTGACATGTCATGTTACTATGTGCCAAATCTATTCAAATGGATCTCACATCATTAATAAAGAAATTTACCTTTGGTTGACATGGCACCAAATCTATTCAAATGGGTCCCACATCACTAATAAAAAAAATATCTTTTAATGATATAAAAAATTAAGTGATATTTTTTATATTTTTTTAATAATATAACAA